ACATCATTATGTGAGTATATTAAAGTTAGATTTAGTTTAAGAAGTTAAAATAAGTTTTGTTTGTTTATAAGTCTATTATTAACAGATGTTTTTTTTTCTAAAATATTCATAAAATTGTAGATATTTGTCTTGATATTCAAAACATGTGTTTTATTTGTTTTTTGTTTTTGTTTTTTTTTGATTCGTGAATATATTACTAATACTTATTTCTTTTTTTTCTAGAATTGCTAGGCTTTTTGAAAACTGTTGGGTATTTGTTTTGGTAATTCTGAAAAGTATGATTTTGAGATTCGCTAGTCTTGTTTTTTCTTGCTTATTAATATTTCTTTTTGTTCTAAGCTTTCTATGATATCTCTGGACTTTCTTGGGATTTGTGGAGTGTATATGTTGTGAACTCAGGACATATGATTTCATTTTTCATTATTGCTTTTATCTTATAAATATATTACTAGCTTTTTTTATTTTTTCTATATTAGGTTGGTCTTAAGAACAGCTATATAGTTACTATTTTTTCACTATTGTTGTATATTATAGAAACTCTTTTTTTAGGTATTTTCAAGGGCATCTTTGAACTTTTTTTTCTGGTTTTTAGATTTGTATATTTTCTTTATTTAGATTTTTTTTTTTTTTTTTGGGTTGTTGCTTATCGCTTTTCTGATGCTATTACACAATGTTATCATTAGTATTGTTGTAATTAAAGTAATGAAAACACTTTTGTCGCTAGTATTATCACTATTAGAGTTGTGGATTATCGTTAGTATTATTGTTATTGGAGTGATAATTACTTACATTTTATTGATTTTCATTATTATCATTGGTAGTTGCTGTAATTGGTATTGTCATTGTTTGAGATATTTTTTTTGCTATTAGTTAGATTAGAGCATCTTGAATATTATCGTCTTGCTATTAATTAGGGTTAGGATATCTTAGATTTTATCATCTTTGCTGTTAGTTAGGGTTAGGGTATCTTGGATTCTATAGTTTTACTGTTAATTTAGATTAGAGTTAGTATTAGAGTAGATTTAGGGTAGATTAGTAGTTGCGCAAAATTGTAGCATAATATAATTGTTGTATTATATTATGCAAGCATAATATATTAATTGTGTAATTAATTTTTTATAAATCATTGTTTATTGTATAATAAAATTTTATTTATTAATTGCTGTAAATCAAGTAATAACTATTAATCATATCGATCATATGATATAAGAGATGTATTATAGTGTAGATATACCAAAAAAAAAATCTTTAAGATATATACAAACTTTATATATATTTGTTAAGCATAATTGACAAACTAATATTTAGTAATAGCTTAGCCAATTTAATAAACATTTTTTAACTTTTTATATATATTAATTAATAATTTGATAGTTATCTGATATATAATTATAATATAACATAATACAAATTATTATATAAATTATATATTCTGAATATAGTATTTATCTAAAAAATCTTTTTTCTTACTAAGTTAATTACTCTTCTAAATTAAGTAAAAATTGTAAAGCTCATCAAGTTATATCTAATAGTAATAAGAATATTAAAAATAGTCTAATAATTATTGAAATATTGCTAAAAAATGATTAACTAACTATATAAAATTCTATATAAACAAACTATTGTTTATATAAAAATTTTATATAGTCAATCAATCATTTTTTAGCAATATTTTAATAACCATTAGACCATTTTTGATATTCTTACTATTATTAGATATGTCTTGACAAGCTTTACAATTTTTATTTAATTTAGAAGAGTGATTAACTTAGTAAAAAAAAGTTTTTTTTTAAATAAATACTATATTTAAAATATATATAATTTATATAGTAATCTGTATTATATTATACTATAATTATGCATCAGGTAACTAGTGAATTACAATTAAAATATTTTTTATTTTTATGATTTTTTAAAAACTTACTCATAAATATATTTAAAAAAAAGCAACAAAAAGAACTTTCAAATACCTATATTCTATTAAAATTAATAAAATTTTATTAATAATAAAGTTTATAAGAGATCTAAGATAATTGAATCTATAATTTAAATACACAAAAGTATTTTAGTATTAAAATAAAAAAAATAGTATATAACTAAGATTTAGTATTTTGTAAAAGAAATATAAAACAATCTCAATTAATATTTATATAAAAAACTAAATAAAAAATTAACTATATTTTATATTTTTTAAGTTATAAAAAATTATATTATAATAAGCTATTGTTTTTATAATAGACAGATTATAAAATATTTAGATAAAAATTTTTTATACAGTAAATATAAATTTTACTATAAATTTAAAAGTAAAGTACTTCTATCTAAATTTTTTTTTACTAAATAAATTATTTTTTTTTTTTTTTGGTGTTAAGGTAACCTCTTGGTCAAGTATGCTTTATTGATTTTGAATATGTTATACATATTTGGAGGGTATATCTAGTTATACCTGTACCTTTTGGACGTCCATTTAAGTAGTCTGCCTATTACTAGGTTCTATACTAGTTGCCGTACCTGCAATTCAACTAGGGGTTACCTATATAAACCCTCTGCGTCTATGTACTTTGACATCTATGTCAATCGGCAACCATTCCTTCAGTTCTATAAACCGGTCTTCCTAGCGCATATTCACATGATGACTTAGAACTACTTTATCCTCAAGGTAAACCTGACAGAGCTCGCAGTATTTCCACTTTATACCGCACCTAGCCTGTGCTTTAGTCTAGTACGCACAGGCCGTGGCCTGCCACTTGCAGCTCAGTTTGCCCATTCTGGGAGTATATGTGGTGCTAGGTTAAGGTCCTTGCCTGAAATTTTTCCCCCAGCTTAAACTTTCTCCTGCTTCTTTTCTATGATTTAACCCCAGTTTGGCTAAACTCCGCTATCCAAACCTTCTTCTGCCCTTGTAGAGTTCACTTAAACCCCAGAACTTACTTCACAGTATATCCCCAGTACTTTAGTAATCTAGTTTCTTTTACCCAGACTTCCAATCCAGATAGCCCAGTATGTAATTACTTATTTTTCTCTGATTCGATGGCAGCCTAGTTGGTGTTGGTGATTTCACCTATTCGTTGATAGCAGGGGCCCCAACCCTGGTTCTCAACTTTCAAGCTAGATGGTCCGATAACCATGTACTTTTCCTTTGCGTCTAGGCAGGTATCCCGAAGGGTGGCTAGTAGGTTTCTCACTATCGCCACAACTTGCTGCAATTGCAGAGGCTTCCTAGCTAGATTCCTGGTCCTCTTTTCTATTTGCAGTGACCTGGTTGGTATGGGCACTTTCCAAACACCCCGTATTTTATCCAGTTCAGTTCACATGGGTTCCATTTCCTGGGTCTAACTTTTACAGTAGCTCTATTGAAGATCTGTACTACCTCTCTATTTAGGACTTGCCAAGTGAGCTTCCATATTCGCAGTTCTCTGGATTTACACGGCCTGGGGGTTTATCTTATGTTTGCACTGCCCTATTATCGGTTTGTATTCCTCTATATAACTTTATGTTACACGAATACCCAGATCTCTCAGTCTTGCTGTTGTAACCATAGTTACAGGTATTCTATCCCAACTGATCATCAAATACAGTTAGCCGTAATACAAGCAGAATTTTCGAATTTTCGTTACTGGTGAGATTCGAACTCTTGACCTGTTACTTGAGGGATAACAACTTGACCACTTCGCTATGTCACCACATCTCTATACTAAATAAATTATTTTTAAACTTTTAACAAAGTTATAGAACTTATTAAAATATTGTAATATAGTAAAATTTTATTAGTATATTTTATATTGGGAGCTGGTAATTGTATCCTCCAAATTTAGTATTCATATTTCTACAGAAATTTAAAAAAATTTTAAAACTTTGAACAAAGATATTTTGACAATCACCTGACTAAATTTAATGAATATTTTTTTATTTGAGTTCTAGAGATCTGTAGAATTCAAATAAAAAAAAATTCATCGAATTTGGTCAGGTGGTTATCGATATATCTTTGTTCAAAGTTTAAAAAAAATTCAAACCATTTATTAAAACAAAGCTATGCAAAAATTTTTTAAACTTTGAGTGAAGATATCTCGACAATCACCTGACTAAATTCGATGAAAATTTTTTTATTTGAATACTAAAGATCTGTAAAATTTAAATAAAAAAAAATTTATCAAATTTGGTTAGTTGGTTATTGAGATATCTTCGCTTAAAGTTTTAAGAAAAAATTCAAAATGTTTATCAAAACAAAGCTATGCCAAAATTTTTCTAAATCTTTGAGCGAAGATATCTCAACAACCACCTGACCAAATTTGATTATTTTTTATTTGAATTCTAGAGATCTGTAGAATTCAAATAAAAAAAATTTATCGAACTTGGTCAGGTGGTTGTCAAGATATCTTCACTCAAAGATTTAGAAAAATTTTGGTATAGCTTTGTTTTGATAAACATTTTAAATTTTTTTTTAAAACTTTGAGCAAAGATATCTCAATAACCACCTAACCAAATTTGATAAAATTTTTTTATTTGAATTCTATAGATCTTTAGAATTCAAATAAAAAAATTTTCATCGAATTTAGTCAGATGGTTGTCAAAATATCTTTGCTTAAAGTTTAGAAATTTTTTGTGCAGCTTTGTTTTGATAGATGTTTTGAATTTTTTTAAATTTTAAACGAAGATATATCAACAACCACCTGACCAAATTCAATGAATTTTTTTTATTTGAATTCTACAGATCTCTAGAATTTAAATAAAAAAAATCATTGAATTTAGTCAAGTAGTTGTCGAGATATCTTCATTCAAAGTTTTAAAATTTTTTAAATTTCTGTGAGGGTATAAATACCAAATTTGGGGGTACGATTAGGGTAGTGACAGATATTACATAATATTCTAGAGGGTAGCTGAAGATAATATAGTTGGAAATATTTCCATATTTGGTACATCATAATGATAGATAATTCTAGAACGAAATCATTACACGGCAGATAATCTAGAAATTTGATCATCTAATTTCTTATTAATTTTTAAACGTTTTCACGGGTTTCACATGATAAATTTACATGAATTGTCTTTATAATATGATGAATCCTTATGAAACTAGGAAGTTTCAAGCAAGTAGTTTTATAATCAGTTGATACTTTTCTATAATCAACTCGTTCTTGAAGTTTATAAGTATAGCAAAATGCAGGCTTTTTTAGGTTGTTAAAATCTATAAAATAGATTAAAACTTGAACTTTTTCTTTTCTTTAACTTTAAGAATTTGTCAAAAAACAAATAAACGCCTTGATCTTTACTTTGCTAACGTCGCCGGCCCCACTTTTCTTATTAATATAACCGTCAACATCATACAACCTCAATAATACGTGGTTTTTTGTAAGTTCAGAGATATTTTTGAAATTTGTTTCCTTTTTACTACGTTATAAAAACTAAAACTAGTGTGTAATGAATTTATTGCAGTATTGGCTTAATCTTTCTTACATTAAGATTCACTAATACTGATTTTTTTTTTTTTTGATTAGTAGCAACTAACCAAGTGACAGCTAACCAAGCAGCAACTAACCAAGTAGTAGCTAACCAAGCGGCAATTAACCAAGTAGCTAACCAAGCGGCAACTAATCAAGTGGTTGCTAACCAAGCGGAAAATAACAAACGATCACAGGCACAAGACCTACCATGTGTCTTTGCTACTTTTTTTAAAAAATATAAAAGTCTTGGTTTATTAGAATGTAAAACGAAGAAATCACAAACTATACCACATGCAGATAGTAAAAAACCAAAGAGTCGTCTTCAATTGTATCATACCTTTTTTCCTGAATTGGTTCAAATTCAAACACATTTAAAAGATTTTTTTTTATGCGAAAAGCATTATAATCAATTAATTGCATCTGATTTTTTGCGTCAAATTCTTTTAAGTTCAAATTTGCCTTGTAATTTGCTTAGTAATTTGCCTAGTAATTTGCCCAATAATTGACGTAGTAATCGAAAAAGAAAAATAAATAATGTTTCCAATGATAAATTTGTTGAAAAGCAGGCTCATACGGAGCATGCTGAAACAGAAGCTGAAATAAATATATGTAATAACATGCAAGCTATTAATGAGGTTGCCGTGCAAGCTAGCAATGAAACCCACGAGATTGGTGTTCAAGTATCTGATAATATGTTGCATACTCTTGAAACCCACATTAATCTACTTCAATTTCAGTTAAATTCGAGAGTAAATGAGATACAAGAATTCAAAAAACAATTAGAATATGCGTACGACTACATAATAGAAAGTTGGAAACGTGTTCAAGAAATCAATAAAATAAATAAAGAGTTAACTGAGCAAAATAATACGTTAAAATATAAATGGAAAAACTGGTATAGTAACCAAAAAAAAGAATTGATTCTATAATTCAAATTGCCAACCAGGAACGTCAAAGCATTTATGAAGATATAGAATCATTGATTTTAAATAGGCAATGGTTTTCACTTAATAATTTATTAAACTTTGCACCTGACAATTGGTTATATAATCGTAACCCAGTTCTCGTAAATTTTATTAATACTCTTACGCATAATGATAATAATAGCCATAATATTTATACTTCGAATGAAAAATTTTTAAAAAAATAGTTGCTGTTGATACTATATATAGATTGAGACATAAAAACTATGTATCGGAAATAAATCTAGCCATAACCAGAACCAAATATTCAATCGCACGATTTAAAACAATTATTGATATTAATAACCATATAATTAGTTTCGGAAGTTATACAATATTTGTAAATTGGCTAGAATCATTAGCAATCGAAGTTGAACCTTTACCTAAAGGACTCTTGTTTTTAGCCTTCGATAATGAGCAATGCGATCAACATAATTATCTTGATCATCGTCATAATGCAGTTATATACCATATGGTTACAAGTTTCGTCGCACTCAATATGAATAAAAATAATCGTGCTCAATTTACAATTGCTCCCTGGCTTTGTGATTCACTAAATGATAAACAGTATGATAAGCTATATTATGTTGCACCTGAAATGCAAGCAGAACACGAATTAGAATTAAAAATATACCTATATTCAATTTTAGAGGAGCTTGTTGCTGAAAAAATAAAGAAATCAATACGATTGACCTAACTATCAAAAATCAAAAAGGTACCGGGAGTCAATCTAAATAGTGCAAAAAATATAATACAACTAATATTGATAATAAAAAACGTACTTGCTCTAAATGTAATAAAAAACTAGACACATTGGCTGTTTTACAAGCGGAATCTGCTAACGAGGTTACCCAGATTAATATGGCCTCCCAATCAAAATCCCTTGTAATAAAGCCTTATACATTTGCTCACAAACAAAACAGTCCCAATTTTGATTGTATTAGTATTACACAGCAGTCGAACCCTGAGCACGATGTTGTTATTCCTGAAATATATGTACTAGACCCATTAGAATTAAACCCTAACTCAGTAGATAATGTCAAAAAAGTTCTAGAGTATATACAAAACATCACAGAAATAAACCGAGGAGAGCAAAAATAGCTACCCGTTACTTGCGACGGTGTTCCTTATACTCTAGCTCAAAAGATTAAAAAAGTCTTTCTGTGGCTCATATTGATTCCTGGCGCCCTGCACGAAGAAATGAATATGCTCAAAGCATTCGTAGAGTTAAATTAGTAATATCATCTTTTATTATTAAAGCATATGAACTATACTCTTTAACATGAAAACTACTATTACACACGTCATCCTGGCTATATCGATATCTGAATATACTGATATTTTTTTAAACTTTTGAACCTCTTGATTTTTTTGAGATGTCGATATAACCCGAGTGATATGTATTACAATCTTACCTTTGTTAACTTATTTTCTTTAGGATGATTGATATCAAACAATTCGATTCTCTTCAAGGATACAGAACTGAAAACCAACTTGCGTTTTTTAAAAAGTGTGTCGATCATCACAAATTGTGGGACTCTATTTGTAATATTTACTGACATGCTGTCACATGTGAATTATTATGGCCATACATAGCTGCGACAGAAAATCCCTCAGTTGATGATTATCTAGATTGGGCAAGAAAACAAAATAATAACATATATAAATTAAAATTTGAACAAGTAAGGTCTTTAATAAAATATTAAATATATTTAA